ATCGGAGGGATGGCGAGGGCTTTTATGCCTTTGGTACAAGATTTGTCAAGAGGTGTTGAATGTTATTGAATGTTTCCGGATATCGTCACGGAGACGGCGTTTAGCCGAAAATGCATCTTCTGAGAGCAATCTCCGTGTTTCAAGGACCCTGCATGGATTGGACATTACAGGCAATAATTTGTGTTTGCTGAGCTCCTTGTTGTTGGGGATTTTGGGGCCACAATGCATCTCCGGATGTATTTCTTTTGCAGCCTGTGTAGGTTGGGGCCCAGACGGCTGCAGGGATCAGAAAATGGATGCCTCGCGAACTTGCATGTTTTCGATTCTGGCATGCTTGTGTGCGGTTGTAAGGTGGTCATGAGAGATTCTGGCTATGGGAAGGGCATGTATCGTTCGGCTCATGATGTTGGAGGCCGCGGCAGCTCTTCGCTTCTGAGCAGCCTGTTTCTGTGTCCTTGGCAGCCTTGGAATGTTAGGGCTTAACATGATTTAGTGTCTTGTGGTTCGCGGATCTGGGTTGCAGCAGCAGTTTCCCGTCTTAGCCACACAATAATTTCATAAGGGCTCCTACCACCTCCTCCTCCTCCTCAAGCCACGACTTCTTGCGGTAACTGGCCTCCAGATGTCGGAGCTTGCTAGACTTGTTGCTCTCTTAAGAAATAAAGAATATACTGCGCAATCAAGATAGCAAGACATTATTTGAAGGCTAAGCCTCACTGAGCCCACGTGGCACAGCGGTTGCCAGTACATTTCTGATTGGGCCTGGTTGCACCTGGTCTTTCAGGTAATATAGGTTGACCAGACCACTGTCAAGACGGGTTTAGATCCATTTGAGAAGTTGTCGCGGTCTTGCAATTTGCTTACTCTGAAGGTGAAATTCAGCCCCCTGAACCCTAGATGTGGAGTCCTGTTCCTTACGACCTTATTTCTGGGGTTGGAACACATAGCTATCCATGGACCTCCAAAGTACATGAGCGTACGGATCTTGTTCGAAGCTTCCTCACAATCCCCATATCCCTATGGAGCCCCAAAAGGTACTACCTTTTCCAGATCCATATTTCAAAGCCTCTGGCCAAGGTACTCTACTACCGCAGACAGCTGGGATCAGTACACTGTGTCTGGTCCTCCAGCGCAGGAGAGAGGCGTCTTCTCAAGGGTTCAGCGTTACAAAAGGTGTAGAGTGGTTGTTGTTGTGGATAAATGTTTGAGTTTCTACAGCAGGATAGGCTATATACTTTGTTTAAATGAAATTGACAGGGCTTGTGATACAAGAAATCCCTAGTCAGCATATTTCTCATCTCCAAACTGGCCCGACTAACTTTGCAATTCGCCTTATGTGAGTCTTCGCATCCTCGGGTGAGTGGTGTAACGGAGCTGGGCTGCATCAACTTGGGTTGGTGTTTCAATGGTCAAGTGGGAGTCCAGCATCAGGTCCTGATATCTTCAGTTGGCTTTGATGCCGCTTTGAGTACCGCCCGTTGCGACTTGTGTTAGGCCTTCCACCCAGAGCACCCCAAGCCTTAAGCCCCTTCCTGTTCGACTCGTGTACTAATCGCCGTGGGACTTCTGACATTATGCCAACTGGATATTGATGGGAGAAAAAGGTAAAGCAGGTAGCAAAGTGTATGCGACAATCTCGTCATAACCTCAGGGTTTTTACAATGCTGCCCTGCGCAACTCCTGCTGCAACAAGTTGTCGACTACGCCCTAGACCTAGACCCTAAACTTCAACCTCCTTGAGTTGAAAGTCCTTAAACTTCCTGCCTACAGCCCAGACCCGGCACCAAACGAGTGCCTGAGGTGTAGTTGTGCTCGGGATACAATGAAGTGTTCCGCAAGGGAATAGGATAGCATGCTGGTTCGCTGTTTTTGGTAAAGTCAGTTGGAGACAGTTAAGCACCAAAAGTGACTCAAGCAGTATTTTGTTTGCGTACCATCCATGGTAGTTTGCTGATATTCGTATGCACCAAAATTTTTCAATTAAGGTTTCGGAGGGATTAGCATCGTTCTTGCCTCCCCTACTCATGAACAACGCTCTCTCCGCCAAGAACAAGCGATACCTAGTTGTTCCAATCCATTATCTAGAAAGTTTTTGATACAAAAACCTAGCAAAGAAACGAACTCTCTATCTACATTAGGTTGCTTCTTATACAGTCCTTTCCAAACTCTTTCTAAAAGTTTCTAACAACAATAAACATGTAAGAAATGGAGGGAAGCCTTAATTCTCTTGATATCTTCAATCCCCCGAGAGCCTCACGAGTTGATGGTAAAAGCTCCGAAGTGGCCCCTTAAAAAAGAGTCTGCGCCTCAAAGGAAGTCTTGCAGGAGGGAGGGGCTCCAGACTTGGAATTCATTGCTCGAGTTCTTTATATGCACTAGGAGGGGATGTTCGGGAGCCTCGGAATAGGATGGACTTGGGGTAGGTGCAGCTGCCTGGGATCCAGCCACCAATCGCCTCTACATCTTTGGTGGATTGGACTGGCTTCCTGCCTGGCAATCCAGGGTTTTGGGTTAAGGGTTCCCAAGCATCATTTTTCTGATGCTTAGGTTCATAAGGGCTCCAGTATTCAAAAATCCCAAGAGTTCCACGCGGCAAGCCATGACGAGAATCCTGCTGGAGCCAAATCCACCCCTCCGTGAAAAAGATCTCGTATCAGGAGTATTTTGATTTCACTTCTCAGTAGCTAACTAGCAACTTCGAAGCTTTCTTTCACAGTCCTGCAACCTAAGCCCAGAACCCCGAACTCTAAACTTCTGAGTCTTCTTAAGTCGATAGAAAGCCAAAAGATACATTGAATTGTTCATACCCTCCCCCAAACTAACATGGAACTCACCATAACCTCGTTGTTGAAGGACAGTACTCTATGTAGACCCCCTTCACAGGCTCCATATTAGTTTGGGGGAGAGCAGGTTTTCAGGCTTGTGGGTTCATAAGCGTAGGGCTTTTCGTGATAAGCGGAGGTTTCTCAACATCAGTTCCTACAAAACCTGAGCAG